ACATGGAAACTGGGTTGTGGATTGGATATTCCATAGGATTTCCATTTCCCTCAGTGCATGGATGAATTCTGCACTAGCTTTCCTCAGTAGCTGATGCAGTCAGACACCATGCCAGAGCAAATTCCTTTTTTTCCACTGTCCTGGTGTGCTTTTTGATGGGATTGGGCATGCCCTTGGAAGGGGAATACATCATCCTTGTTCACTGCCAACTTGAGGCAGTTTGGGTTGGACCAGTTCAATTCTCTGCACTCCATGAAATCCAGGTTTTGTGTCCATTGACACTCAGAATGATTTTAATCTTGCAGGCTGATCAGGGGGCTGGTTCTGGACCATGGAGCTCGCCACCCTGACATGAAGAAAAGAGTGGAAGATGCTTTTGTTCTTACCTGCAATGTGTCTCTGGAGTATGAGAAAACGTGAGTGCACAGCAAATGCTTGTGTCCTAAGGACTTTTACTTTAAGTGTGCTTAAATATCAACCAAGACTGTGAAGGTGAAAGGTGATGCCCCTTCTGCAGCCTTTTTGGGAAAGGTGGTGGGTGAAAAAATCTCTGTGAGAGGCAGAAATTCACAGCGGTTTTTATTTTGTTGTGTGATCACAGGCTGAAAGTCCTTCCTCTTTTGGGTATAATTTGATATTCTAGAGCAAACACATTAATGCACTTCAGAGTTCTCTCAGCTTCAATGTCTGCCTTATTTTTTGAAGTGGAAAAGCTCTGAACAAAGAGCAGGAGCAGCAGTGTGGGTTAAGGGGACTGGTTTGGTTTGGATTGATTTCTTTAGAATGTTACTGAAAGGCTTATTCCTGATGCTCAAGTTTATTTCTACAGCAGAGAGGAAGTTTTCTCACTGCTTTTTTGTGGGTTTTTTTTTCCCCTTTAGAGAGGTGAGCTCTGGATTCTTCTACAAAAGTGCTGAGGAGAGGGAGAAGTTGGTGAAAGCAGAAAGAAAGTTCATTGAAGACAGAGTCAACAAAATCATAGAGTTGAAAAGAAAAGTCTGTGGTGACTCAGACAAAGGATTTGTTGTGATCAACCAGAAGGTGAGATGAAGAGAGTAACTAAAATTATTTGAAATTCTGGCTTCCTTGTGTGACTCACCTGGTACAGTTATTGAGCCAGAATTAGCTAAATTTAGGCTGATACTTCTGAATATCATGTACAGTTCCTACTTGAGAACTTCTTTGAGCCTTGAGGAAGAACTTTTTAGTGTCAGAGTGAGAGATTTTTTAGCTTTGTCCTTATGCTCATGGTCACTTTGTGTTTCCAGGGAATTGACCCATTTTCCTTGGATGCCCTTGCCAAAGAAGGAATAGTTGCTTTGAGGAGAGCTAAAAGGAGGAACATGGAAAGGTCAGTTTTGGGGAGAGGATACAATAACCTGTTTTTCCAAACTGAGACAGTGAGTCAAGTGTGGCTTAAATTCATCTTTAAAGATTTGACTCAAAATGCCACTTCAATCTGTGCAGCTCTTCTGCATTCTTTAAATGCAGGCACCTACAGAGGAGCCTTAATTCTACAAGTTCGATTTTTAAAGAGCTCTTCCATGAACAAAACCAAACTGTTCCAAGCCTAGGATCTGCATGCTGAAATGCTGCACTTATTATCAGTGGCTTTGGGGTTTGTTGAACATAAAGCTGAGCTGTGTCTGTTCTCTGTCAGACTGACCCTGGCCTGTGGTGGCACTGCCATGAACTCTGTGGAGGATCTCACCCCTGACTGCCTGGGACACGCAGGGCTTGTCTATGAGTACACCCTGGTGAGTGACTGAGTGTTTGAAGAGTAAAGCTGGAGTATTGAAATCAAATACTTCAAATCCACTTGGATGTGAACATCTGCCTGGATGTTTGCTCCTGTCATAGACAGAGAAAACAGAAATAAAGTTCTTCTGCTTCTCATCACTTCTTGAAGTGCTGTCAGTGCAGAACTCAGCCTGAAAGCATCCAGTTCATGAATTTATGTACACATTGCTGAAGCAAGTGGCTGAGAGGCAAACATGGCTCTGTTTTGCACAGGGAGAGGAGAAGTACACCTTCATTGAGAAGTGTGAGAACCCCCGCTCCGTGACCCTGCTCATCAGGGGCCCCAACAAACACACGCTCACCCAGATCAAGGATGCAGTGAGGGATGGGCTGAGGGCTGTGAAAAATGCCATTGAGGATGGTGAGTCCCCTCCCTGTTCATCATGATAAGGACCTGGAGAAACTCGTCCCACAATTAGGGAATGATATATCAGCTCCTTTGGTTCCTGTGTGAGGTGATTTTATAGTTCTATGGTGACATCTGTGTAACTGCTCACCTGTTCAGGCACAGGATATGGAGGGAAGAGATCAAACTGCACTAAAAATGAGGTGTTGAAGCTGAAACAGGAGCTTTTCCCTTGCAGGATGTGTGGTGCCAGGAGCAGGGGCACTGGAGGTGGCAGTAGCCAATGCTCTTGTGAAACACAAACCCAGCGTGAAAGGAAGAGCTCAACTCGGAGTTCAGGCTTTTGCTGATGCTCTGCTCATTATTCCTAAGGTAAAAGGAGTTCTTGGGTGATAAAGTGGATTTAAAGCACACACAGACTCACTGCTTTTTCTGTAATCAGCAAAACGAAACCAATCCTTGTGTTCTGTGCCAGGTGCTTGCTCAGAACTCGGGATATGATCCCCAGGAGACGCTGGTGAAGGTCCAGGCAGAGCACGTGGAGTCAGGGCAGCTCACTGGGGTTGATCTCAACACTGGTAAGGACTCCCTCAGGGTCATGCTCCAGAAGGAACCTCAGCTCAGAACAAAGTGCTCTGAATGCAGAAAGTTTTACCTTTATTGATCAAAAGCTGCACAGAAACCTTGGCAGTCAAGCTGCTGTAGTCGAGTGTGTTCTGATTTGAGGTTTTTAGAGGATAAAGCACACGGTAACTGTTGGATACCGTGAGTGATATCAGCCAGCAGAAAGTGTCTGTGTGAACTGGTTATTTAAAGGCTGCCTCACTTCTCTTGCAGGGGAGCCCATGGTGGCTGCAGCAGCTGGAATCTGGGATAATTACAATGTCAAAAAGCAGCTGCTTCATTCATGGTAAGGCTGGCAGTATTCCACTTGTAACATTACTCTGTGTGTGTTTAAGTGATGTGAAACTGGGGATCCCATGTACAGGAAGATGTCTTGAAACACAAAAGTGAAGCTGAGTTTGGCAATTGTAACTTTGTTTCCTGTTTCTCTGTTTCCAGCACGGTGATTGCCAGCAACATTCTCCTGGTGGATGAAATCATGAGAGCTGGGATGTCCTCCCTGAAAGGCTGAGCTGGAGCTGCTCCCTGAGGAATTTCTCCAAGGAATCCAGGCCAGGCCTCTGTCCTTGGCTGTGGTGAATGTCCCACTCTGCCATGAGGGGCAGCCCCTTTGGTGACACGGCCACTCAAAATCTCAGCAACTTAATCAAAGATTTGGCTCTAAAAAGGAGTTATTTATTTTTGATTTCACTGAAGTGTGTGGCTGCAGTTGCTTTTTCCATTTTTACCCAATAAACTGTTCTGTTCTGTGCTTTGGGTGTCAGTTCTTTAACCTTCACCCCCTCCCAGAACATTCTGCAGTGGGGGGCTGCATTCCTGAGTCCTACTCTTGGGAATTTTGTGAAATTACTGTTGAAGAGTCTGCTCTGGGAACAGGGTGGGATCATGCCTGGAATTTGTTTAGTAAAAATTAAAAAAAAAAAAAAAGCTGGATTAATGCAATCACTTTAGTTTTGTACTTGCTTGTGAATAAAACTGAGTTCACTGAGTGCAGAATGGTTGGAAGGGGGAGTGAAGGAGCTGTCTTAGGGAGTGGATTTTTAACACTGGTTCTGCTGCATTAAAGTATTTATGGATAACAAATGCCAGAGCAGGTCAAGGCAGAGCTTTCAGTGCGTTCCCAGCAGGGGAACAGGCTCCTGCCCTCTGGAATGGTTTTCCCTAAACCCAGCGGCGCTTTGTGTTAAGAGGAATCTCCCATCTGACAGGCGCTGCTGAATGACCATAAACGAAACCTTACACAAACCCTTCAGCCACCCCAGTCCGCCTCCCTGCTGGGGAAGGGTTGCAGCTGGCCCCGGTGCGTGGCAGTCTGGACCCCGTGTGAGCCGGGGACTGACACAAATCCCTTTTCCTACAGAGCTGATGCCCCGGAAGCGCTCCCGGATCCCGCAGCACCTCCGGGTCAGGCCCGCGGCTCCTCTGGGATGGGGACGGCGGCGGGGCTGGTCCTGCTGTGCTGCGGGGTGCTGGGTGAGAGCCCCCAAAATCCGCCCCCCGGCATCCCCAAAATCCCCCAGGCAGGGCTCTCTCCCTTCCCGAAAACGGGACTTTGGGCTGCACTCACAGCAGTCGCTGCCAGCCCTTCCGGCACACGCAGGGACATCCCGGCAGCAGCTGCGCCTCGCTCGTGTTTAACAATGAAACCTGACTGAATTTCTCCTTTTCCAGCGCTCGGAGAGGATGGGAGCATGGTGCAGCTGCCCGGGGGCACCTTCCAGATGGGATCCGTGCAGAGAAGGGGCGAGGAGGGGCCCGCCAGGGAGGTGACAGTGAAGCCGTTTGCTCTGGACAAACACCCGGTGACAAACAGGGACTTCAGGTGAGCCCGCCGTGCCTCGGTGCCTGTGGGGACAGGCGAGTGTTCTCTGCTGGTTCCTGCGGGCTGGAAGCCAATGCTTGGGATGCTCGTTGGAAAAAAATGTGTCTGTCATAGGAAATCACCCCAAAGCTGCAAGCTGAACCATCTTGGCACTATAGCTTGCAAACATACTTTTATTTCCCTTTTTGTCCTTTCTCCCCCCACTTTCTTTCCTCTTTTTTCTTCTTCTCTTTTTCATCTCCTCCTCCTCTTCCTACTTCTCCTTTTTTTCTCCTCCTCTTCTTCTCCTCCTCTTCCTCTCTTTTTCTTCTCCTCCCCCTTTCCCTTTTGTCTCCCTATTCTTTCCCTCTCTTCTTTCACTTTTCTTTCTCCCTTCTTCTCCTTCTCCACTAACAGCAGCCCCAGGTTTTATTGGCTTTTAAGGAATTTTTTCTCTCTGCAGTTATAGAAACCTGAGTACAGGCTGAGTTTACCTGCACAGGTAACATAAAAAGTATCAAATCTGTGCAAAGATGCACACTGGACTGTTTTATGTGTTAAATCTAAATCAAATCATCTGGAGTTGGGGGATCTGTAAGTTTTGTACCTTTTGCCTTGCTCTGAACTCGTTGCATGAGCAGATTTGTGAGGCAGAGCTTGAAGAATTCTTACCCAGAACGTGTTGTATTTATGCCAGGGAGTTTGTTAGAGAAAAGAAATACAAAACAGAAGCAGAAGCATTTGGCTGGAGCTTTGTCTTTGAGGATTTCGTATCTGAAGAGCTGAAAAAAAAAGTCACCCAAAAACTGGAGGTAAATCTGAATCCTGTGATGGGTTTGGTGTTGCTTTTCCATTGAGGAGCAGCTGCCTGTTTGCAGAGCCTGGCTGCTCTCTGAGGTTTTTCTTTAGTATGGGGTTGTTCTGCTTTTGAACCTCAGCAGGATTGAGCTGGGGTTGATTCATGTGCTCCTCTGTTTCCTTGCTCTGTGAGCTGTCAGTCTGGACTCCAGGGAGCTGGGAGGAAGTAAAATGTGTTTCAAAGGACTTCAGTAATCCAACTTTAAAGTAGAAAAACTGAACAGCATGAGCCTCTTGATCTATTTTCACTTTTAAAAGCAGATGCCTCTGCTCCGTGGGAAAGCAGCATCCAAATGTGTGTGATAACCCAGCTCAAACTGCAGCATTTCCCAGACTAACACACCCTGCTGTGGGACGGTGTCACCAGTCCAGGTGTCACCAGTTCACCTTCTCACTGGTGTCATTTCTTTCCCCAGTCGGCCCCGTGGTGGCTGCCCATCGAGAAGGCATTTTGGAGACAGGTGAGTAAAATCCTGGTGTAATAAAATCCTGGTGTAAAATCCTGATGAGGTGACTCCTCCCCATGCTGAGAGCTCGTGTATGTTGTGTGTGCTGAACCTTATTGACCAAAAACAGGTGAAAAAAACATTTTTCATCCTTTCATTTCTTCCACCCCTTATTCCCTTTGTAATGAAAATTGTATAACATTAATTCAAATCTGCTTAAATCCCTGCCAGCCCTCAGGCCCTGGCTCCAGCATCAAGGACAGGCTGGATTACCCAGTGCTGCACGTGAGCTGGAACGATGCTCAGGCCTTCTGTGCCTGGAAGGGGAAGAGGCTCCCATCGGAGGAGGAGTGGGAATTTGCTGCCAGGGGAGGACTGGAGAGTAGGTAGCACAAGCTCTGAGCTTTTCCCAAACCAGGCATGGAGTGGTGTTAGTTCCACCAGATCCAAACCTCCCTCCAGGGATGTTTGCAGATGATGCTTTGAACCACCTCTTTTGGCCTGAGAGTGTAATAATATTAATAATTAATAAAATAAATGAATAAAACCTCAGTATCCCAAGCTGAGCAGAAAAGGACAATCCTAAAAGCCTGGTTGGAGTGACTGACCCAGGGCTAACAAGTGTCTTTTCCTCCCTGGCAGAAAGGATGTATCCCTGGGGAAACAAGTTCCAGCCAAACCGTACAAACCTGTGGCAGGTAAGATCCTAAAAATCATCCCATGCACACTGGGCTCTCCTCAGGGTGGGGTTTCACTCAGCCACTGAGTGAGGGTGTCCTGGGAAACACTGGGTACTGAAACTGAGCCCCTGGGGGGTTGTAAAAATACCCTCAGAGGGAGCAGGCTCAGCCCATCTTCCCTGGGAAACCAGGATTTTCCCACTTCTAAAAATTTGAAGAGGGAACCTGGGACAACTTCAGGTGCTTGATCTCTCTTGATCAGCATGAACTGACACGAGAGTTATTTGCCTATTTGAAGTGTACAGCCCCGTGAGGAGCAGGGTTTGGGGGTGTTTGTGGGGTGGTTCTTTGCTGGGAGTGATCTCTGTTCCCCCAGGGTGAGTTCCCTCGGGGGGACACAGCTGAGGACGGCTACCACGGCGTCTCCCCGGTGACAGCCTTCCCTGCCCAGAACAGCTACGGTACACAGCACCCTCACCCTGCTTTGGGGATGCCATCTGCTTCCTAAATTAATGTCAATTAGCAAATCCTGCAGTAGGGAAGAGTTCCAGATGAGTGGGATCTGGAGTAGAGTAAGTGAGCCCAGGAAAAGCATCCATGGTTGGTGCTGGAGTTGGCTGAGGTACACCTGGCTGCACTTCAGGCACCAAACCACCTCCTTTTAAACTGGGTTATTTTGCAGCTTAGTGGGATGTAACAAAAATTCTCAGGATATTGTTTGGTTGCCATGTTCTCATGCACATGGGAAATGATGACACACTGAAGTTTGAAATACAGTGAGGAATTTCTTCAGCCTCACCATGGAACCACACTCTTGAACAATGCTTTAAATGTTGTTCCCCCTCCCATACACCAAATTTACAGCTCTTGCACACTTGCTCTCCTAATTCTGGCACAAAACCATCTCAGGGCTCTATGACCTGCTGGGAAACACCTGGGAATGGACAGCATCAGAATTCCTGACTCCAGCAAGGGCATCCAGGGCTCAGAACATGCAGGTGCTGAGAGGAGCCTCGTGGATTGACACTGCAGATGGCTCTGCAAACCACAGAGCTCGTGTCACCACCAGGTAGGTCTGGCCAAAGCCCAGCTGCTGCTGCACAAGGGTTTTCTCTGGGTTGGTTTTATTTTAAAATATGTTTGTTTGTTCCTACACTTTTTTTTTGAGAAGCAGTTGGCAGAGCACACTACAAATATGGCTAAAAACACCCCTGCTATAAATCCATTCCTAAATGCTTCTCAAATCATGTGTCTTCCAGCAGGTATTAATAATTAAATGCTTTTCTCTGAGTAATTCAGGGGAAGTGGAAGATGTTTCTAGGCTGTTCTAGCAGGTCACATTGGGGTTGTAACATATTAGGGATATGTGTAACTAGGAAGGATCCCTAATTTTGGATCTCTTTTTCCCTGTCAGGATGGGGAACACACCAGACTCTGCCTCTGACAACCTCAGCTTCCGCTGTGCTGCCGACATCCCGCCCGTCCCAGCCTGGAAAAGCCACAGCAAACCTGAGCTTAAACCTGAGCTCTGAGTGCAAACCTGAGCTTAAACCTGAGCTTAAACCTGAGCTCTGAGAACAAGCCTGAGCTCTGAGTGCAAACCTGAACTTAAACCTGAGCTCTGAGTGCAAACCTGAGCTTAAACCTGAGCTCAAACCTGAGCTCTGAGAACAAGCCTGAGCTCTGATTGCAAACCTGAGCTCTGAGGGCAAACCCGAGCTCTGAGGGCAAACCCGAGCTCTGAGGGCTCACTGGGAACACTGAGACATTTTCTCCTGTGGAGATGAACAGTAACCCCCAGCTGTCACTTCAATTAAACCCCAGTTGTTTTTCAAATTAAAAATAATGTCAATCTTTTCAGTGCTGGGATGTCTGAGTGGGAACAGTGATTGGGATGGCAGGAAGGGGGGGTTTGTCTTTAGGGTCCTTTTGGTGTGGGAGATCCTCCAGCTCTCCTGTCGTCCATGTAGAGCAGAGGGGTGCATATGTAGGACTGGGCCAGAGCTGCTCACCCACAGCGCCCTGTGACCATCAGTGTGGGGCTGCCAGGGGAAAAGTGATGGGGGCACATCCCTGGAAGGGGGAGTCATAATCACTCCCCATTCCCTTGGGAAATCCCAGCTTTGGAGCAATGCTGAGCCTTCCCAGAAGTAAAACAAGGCACCTTCATTGGCGTTTGAGCAGTACAAAATGATGTGACAGATGAAAACAGTGCCCCACCTCTCCCAGGAGTTCCAACCAGCACAAACTCTCTGTGCAGGAGCTCTGTGCCAAGCCTGAGGGGACCAGGAGCCTTCACCAGAAGAGTGGGCAAGAACACTGCTCAGGGATGCCTCATCCACCTTTACCTGTCCCAAAACAGGCACTGGGATCCCTCATCCGCCTTTACCTGTCCCACAACAGGCACTGCAGGTGCCTGAGGGCTGAGCCTTCCCCATGGGGACCTGCAGCTGGTTCTGGCTCTGTTAAAAGGAGGTTTCTCCAAACCCATTCCTCCAGTGCTACACACCCCAGGAACAAATTATTTGCTATGTCTGTATTTGCACCAGTCCTGAGCCCAGTGAAAGAAAATTTTAAAACCCCCAGAAATCAGCATTTCGTTTTCCAAGATTTTACTCGCCTACTGTGAGCCAAAGCAGGGGCTGGGGCAGTGATCAGAACAGCCCCTCCTCGGCTGCCAGGGTGAGCAGGATGGCCTTGCAGGTGTTCTCAAAGAGGGCAGCTCTGTTCTGGGCCTCGCCCTTCTTCACCCAGTGGCGGTAGGTGCGGAAGGCACAGGCGTCGATGAGCTTGCGGACGGGCTTGAGGGCGTACGGGTCCCTGACCACCAGCTCCCTGGTCACTGACTTCACCAGCCTGTACTGGTAATAAATCCTCACCGAGGCCAGCACGGTCAGGCAGATCACCTGGGGCACAGGGAATAGTCTGGTATTCATGAGAATTCTCCTACAACAGCCTGGCATGCAGGGGAATCCCCACAATGGGGTGGTCCCAGTGCACCCCTCCCTGTGGGGGAACCAGGAGGGAGCTCAGTGCCTGGCACAGTTTAGTTCCTGTGGGGCTGGTGAAGGGCAGGGGCTCATGCCACGGAATCATACAATCACAGCATAGTTTGAGTTAAAAGGGAACTTAAAGCCCATTTTTCTCCACCCCCTGTCATGGGCAGGGACATCTTCCTCTATCCCAGGTTGCTCCAAGTCCAAACCTGGCCTTGGACACCTCCAGGAATGGGGCAGCCACAGCTTCTCTGGGAAACCTCTGCCAGCGCCTCCCCACCCTTAGAGCCAAGAATTTCTTCCCACTATGCCATCTACCCTGCCCTCTGGCAGTGGGAAGCTGCTCCCCCTTGCCCTGTCACTCCATCCTTTGCCCCAAGTCCCTCTCCAGCTCTCTTGGAGCCTCTTTAGGCAATGGAAGGGGCTCGAAGGTCTCCCTGGAGCCTTCTCTTCTCCAGGCTGAACTCTCCAGTTCTTTCAATTGTTGTTTTTTGAGGTAGCGGGCAGTTTCTCCCTTCTCCTTTAAGTCCCACCCATGAGGGACTGCCTGCTCTGCACCCAGGCTGCTACACCCTCCCAAACCCCACCCCCAGCTGGAAAACCCATCCCACTGCTGGCTCCTGCAGCTCCCAGCTCATCCCCACCTTGAATTTGCGGAAGGGGCTGAAGTGCCGGACCTCCTCCACATCGTACTGCTGGAAGAAGGGATGTGCCAGCGCCTCGCCCGCCGTGTACCGCTGCCGCGGGTCCACCACCAGGAACCGCGAGATCTGCACAGGTCACCGCTCACTTTGGGGTATCCCAGGGGTCTGTAACACCCCCTCCACTCCCAAGTTTTCCCAGCCCAAGCACCCACCAGGTCCTTGACGGTGTCGGAGCGGTCGTCCCACTCCGGGGAGCTGAACTGGTAATCGCCGTTCATGATCATGCGCAGCATCAGCATCTGCTTGCGGTGCCAGAAGGGCGGCGAGCCGGCCAGCAGGGTGTACATGATCACCCCTGTGCTCCACCTGTGGGCAGCCACACCGAGCCTCCAGCACCCCTGTGCCACCCCTGTGCCACCCCCGGGCCACCCAGCTGGCTCTGCACCCCAGGGCTGGCCCAACCTGCCTTGGCCTCCCTGGAAAACCAGCAGGGAACTGCCCTGTGTGTGCCTGGGGAGGGGGGCTGAGCTCGCTTTGGGCTAAGCTGAGGGGGAGTTGCTCCCTGGATGCTGCAGGAAGATGCTTTGAGATGGAGTATTTGACCTTTGCAGAGTTTTTTAGGAAAGGGAGTGGGGCTTGGTGATGCCAGCCAGGCTGGATGCCCTCGGGCACAGCTCAGGCTGTGCAGTGCCAGGTGTCCTGGCTCAAACTGGAAAGGGGATGAAATGCCCTGGTGTTGTCACAACTCTGACCACTGCAGCCTGAAGACACCAGAGGTGGTGGCAAAGTCCCTGCAGAGCTCTGCTGGGCTGCCCTGAGCTGGCTGCTCTCTCAGGGGCTGCACAAGGTGAATTTAAAACCCTCATGTCTTGAAGCTCAGCCTACATTGACTTCCATGAACAGAAAGTGTTGCTTTCCCTCTCACAATGGGGTGAAGTGGGGAGATGGGCTTGTCCCCAGGCTGCTTCTCCCCCTGCTCTGTGCCAGAGCCCCTGGTGACCCAGACAGCCACCAATATTGGCTTTTGGTGCATCATTTCATTCTTTCCAAACACTCACACAGGTCCCCATTGCCACAATTCTGGCCTCAAACCATATGTGTGTGTTTAGGGAACAGCTTCTCACTCACATATCCACCTCCTTCCCATAGCCTTGGTGCTCATCATCCATGGAGCACTGCAGGATCTCGGGGGCCAGGTAGCCAGGAGTGCCACAGATCTCTGTGGGGACAGGGACACAGGGCAGAGCATCAACCTAGGTGCCATTCCCACTTACCCTCTGGCAGCTCCTGGTGGGATCTCTGCAGGAATGGTGCTCACTGAGGAATTGCAACCTGTGTGCATCTCACTGGTGACTTTTTTGGTGAATTATTGTGGCTAACAAGTGAGCAAAGAAGATTATATGGATGCTTGTGGGAGGGGATGGCAGTTGTTGGCTCTTTGAATGTAGGAATTGGGGGAAATAATGCTGGGCAGTAAGTGGGTAATGGGGATCAACTGGAGGAAAAAAGAAGTGGAACAGATTAGGATGGTTTTCCTAAATAGCAGAAAGTCTGGAGAGAGGTGTGGAGGCTGTGTGCAGGCAGAATTGTGTGTGAGGACAGCAAAAGCAGCCAAACAGCACCAATGTGCACCCCCACGTGAGACTGCTGACAAGGACAGAGTGGGGCTGGAAAAACTCACCAGCCCAGCATCCCCCCACCTCACCAGCCCCCTACCTTTGAGCTTCTCATTCTCATTCAGCTGGCAGGAGAAGCCAAAATCTGTCAGCTTGATGTTCATGTCATCATCCAGCAGGATGTTCTCTGGCTTCAGGTCCCGGTGGACGATGTTGATGGAGTGCAGGTATTGGATCACCTCCAGCAGAGCTCGCATGATCTTCCTGAGGATGGGGACAGCTCATTCCCTATCCCAAATATCCACTGGCACCACCATCCCAGGGATGGGGACAGGGACAGTGCACAGGACACAGCCCAGGGTGCTGTGCTGGCCGCAAGGTCTCCCCTCAAACCCACGCTCTGCTCTTGCAAGGTGATTTTCAGCCCTCTGCACCTGGCCTTACCTGGTTTCTTTCTCGCTCAAGGTGACTTTCTCAGTGAGGTAGTCAAAGAGCTCCCCTCTCTTCATCCTGCATGAGGAAGGGGAAACAGAGTCAGGCAGAGGCTGAGCTGCAACAGCAAAGCAGCCCTGAATCCCTGGTGAGGATCAATCAGCCCAAAATAACTTCCATAAAAAGGGGTAAAAATGCCTTTATATATTTCAGTAAAATATCAGGCAGGAGCAGAAGCTATGCCTGGAGAGGGCAGGTTCTGGATAGAAACACAATTGTTAAGGTTTGAAAAGGCCTTTAGGATCACCAAGTCCAACTATCAAAGATGGGGCAGGGATGGGGCTCTCCCAGTGCCATCACACTCCTCTGACATCCACTGCACTGTCCTGGCATTGGGAATTGTGGCTTTGCAGACACCCTGGTCCCACTGAGCATATAAATAACCCTCAGGGATCCATGACAGCTCCCACCAAAGGTTACAGGGAAACCCGAGCAGCACGGAGCCGCTGACAGAGGGGAAACAGTGCTGGCAGCAGGGCTGCAATGAGCTTGCAGTAATTGTGGTTTGATTCTACCTTAAGGGCTGCTTGTCCCTCCACTTTGCCATTTTTGGGCCATAGAAAGCTGGGACCAATCTGCAGAGAGGGAGTGGGCCCAGGGGTGCTAAGCCAGCTGGTACTTACAGGTCAAATACCAAGAAGAAGAAGGTGCTGGATTCATAGCTGTCCTTCAGCTGGACTGCAATAAAGCACAGGGGCTGTGAGCACAGTGTTCCTGTCCATCAATGGACTAAAAATCTGATTAACCTAATTGAGTTAATCAGGAGCTGATCTTCACAGGTGTTGTGGCTGGGAGACAACATGGAGGGCACTGCAGGGGCGTGTGTGTGTGTGTGTGGAGGGAGAGCAAACAATGCTCTGAGCAGGTGCCTGGCATCATCCAGGGATTTCACCCCAAAAACCCTTCCTGGGGACACCCTGAGGAACAACCAGGGCAGAAATTCCCCTTGCCTGGATGCTCAGGGCCTGACTTACTGACGTTGGGGTGTCCCGAGACCTTGCGGAGGATGTCGATCTCCTTGGTGGTGGCTTCCCGCAGCTCCTGCACCTCCTTGGGGGAGATGTTCCCTGCTGTGATGTCGATGATCTTCACAGCATATTCCTGCCTC